CGTGCCCGCGAGAAGCTGGCCCGTGTGGAGGCCGAGCGGGCAGCGCTGGAGGTGAAGCTGAAGCATGCCCGAAACCAGGTAGAGGTGGAGATGAAGAAGCGGCACCGGGCAGAGGCTGAGCTGGAGAAGCAGGTCAGGGGGCTGGCCACAGGGGTACCCCGCAGGGCTGGCTGCGGGGACCCCAGCCCTCTCACCACCACCCTGTTTCACTTACAGGAGCGCAAACTTCAGCTGGTCTTTGAGTCTCTGATGCGGGAGCCATGGGGCAATGAAATGCTGAGCAGGAACCAGTGCTCTGTTCTCAGCGCCCTGGCCGGCCGGCGCCTCGGGGCGACCCTGGCACCGGGCAGGAGGTGAGCGGGGCTGGCAGACCTCAGCCCCTCGGGCAGCCCTGGGCTTGGCTGTGCCCCTCTCCCCCTCACTGCTGCTCACCTTGAGGGGCTCGTTGGGCATGGGCTCTGCAGAGGCATCAGCCATGAGCTCCCAGGAGCAGCTGTATAAGTAGGTGCTGGCTGAGGGGGGAATTGCTCCAGCTGAGCTCACTCTGCAGGTCATCTGCAGTGGACGAGTCGTGCCAGTCCCTCTTGTCCCACTCAGATATCAGCTATGACCGCACCGAGGACGATGTGGTAAGGAGTGTCCTGCTGTGACTCTTGGGGTTCACCCCAGCAGTGAGGGGGTGTTTTTGCCCCATTTCTGCAATGGAGCAGCCCCTTTGCATGTCTGTGGTTAGGGGTGGGCTGCTGTCAGAGCCAGAGATGAATGTTGGGGTTGTCCCTGGCCCTGCCAGCCCCTAGACTCCTTGCTGCCTTTCAGGATGTTGATATGACGGTGGTGCGGACCCTGAAGCGCAAAGCCCCGGAGAGGCAGGTATGAAGGAAATTCTGGGAGCCCTGGGGGCTGATGTTGAGGTGGGGTCTGTGCCCCTCTGTGGGTAAGGATCACCCAGCTCTGATCCCAAGGTAATGTGCCCTTGGGTCCCTCTTCCCACTCAGATCCTCATGTACAGCCCAGATTGGGGTGCTGGCCCTGGGCCATGAGAGGTGAGGGCACCCAGATACTTATCCATCCCAGCACAAGAGGCTGCAAGGAGCCTGGCAGGGGGTTTAATTTATTGATGCTGGGCTGGGAGCATCGTCTCTCGGCAAACCTCCCGCAATCAATAGAAACTCCATTATGCTCCACTGTGGCCCAGCTGGGCTCCTCAATAATTCATCCCCATATGTGGGCATCCCGCACCCTGCTCTGCTTGCACCTCTGCATTGCAGGCCTGGCCTGGCCTCCCCCAGCCCCAGGGCTGGCTCCAACCCAGAGGGGGGCCTGAGTCCCCAAGGTGCCTGGTGTGGGGCAGGCAATGCTGGGGGGGTGACATGAGACTGGGACTTTTTTTTGGGCTGGGGGCCACTTGACTTGAGTGATCTGGGGTGTGGGGCAAAGTCAGGGAGGGGTCTCTGCCTGCTCTTCACACTGTTTTCTCTGTTTCTAGCATGTGTCCCTGGCCCCTCAGATTGGCCCTGTTGTGATGGCAAAGAGGCACCGTTCTTCTGTGGTACCCCATAATGCTGTGAGTAGGGACCTCAGCGTGCCCTGAGCAGGGATGGGGTGCATGGGCTGTCCCAGTGCCAGAAGGCAATGCTGCAGCCTTCAGTCCTATGGGTTCTGTGGGGTCTGCTGTATCACCCTGGTCCCAGTGGGGACAGCAACCCTGGCTCTGGAGGACCACAGGGATGTGGATTGGGTGGAGTAGAGATCATGAGGGAGATGTTGGAGAACTGTGGGGCTGCGGACAGGCACCTTCTCATTGCCTCCTATCTTGACAGGCAAGTGTCCCCTCTATGCCCCCTCCTGCTGAGGTCCCAGGCCCTGCTGGAAGCCTCCTGCCCACTGCTTTGGTCCCACGCCGCCGATCTTGCCAGGGACATCGTGTCTCCATGCGTGCAGGTCATGGGAAGGGCTGAGGAGAGGGTTGGTGGGTGATGGGGGACTAGTCTCAGGATGCTGCTGTCACATGGGAGGGAGGGGATCTGCTGGGGGATGCTTATCCCCACCATGGAGGTACTGGGGTCCTCTGGACATGCCAAATGCCACTGTCCCATGCAGAGGTTCCCTGAGAGCTGAAAAGCCTCCCCACATGCCAGCTGGTAGATGGGATGGTTTGCCTTTCAGGTCTCCCTCCACTACCTCCTCCCTCTGAAGAGCTGACCACGGCGTGCAGCACCAGTGAAGCTCATGGCTGCCGTGCCCCGGGGCAGGAGAGCCACACTGAGGGTAGCTCAGAGGGGCAGCCAGCACCAGCCCCCTTCCCCTCACCTCCACAGAGCCTCCCAACAGTCCAGCACCAGTTCACATCCAAAACGGTTTGAGTCCCAGCCTCTCTCATCCTGGGTGGTAGGCAAGGGGAGAGGGTCATGGTGTGTGGGGGGCAAGGCTCTCCTCTATCCCCCACCCCCTTAGCTCTGCCTGCAGGGGGAATGGATGGAGGTAGTGGGGGCTGGCTGAGAGAAGATAAAGCAGTGGTACTGGGTATCTGCAAGAAGGGGGGCCCCTTACCCTGCTGTCCTCTCCAGGTGATCCGCCCTGAGCCATGTGGTGTCTGTGGCTCCCGCATCCGCTTTGGGAAGACTGCCATCAAGTGCTGTCAGTGCCAGCTGCTGCTGCACACCAAGTGTCGGGAGCAGTGCCCCAGCCCTTGTGCACCCCGGCCTCGCCACCACACCTGGCCCCGTGAGGTGAGGGGGCACAGCAGTGCGTGGGGGCTGCTCCATGTCCCCATGGGGCTTTGGGGCTATCAGCCCCAGGATGCTGGGCCTCTGCCCACCCTGACTGCAGGGCTGGGTGGTGGGCACAGAGTAGGTCAATGTTGTCCTCCCCAGGGTGTGCTGGCTGACTTTGCCCCCTCCACGAGGCCCCTGGTGCCCTTGCTGGTGGTTCAGTGTGTGACCGAGGTGGAGACTCGAGGCTTGACAGAGGTAGGGGCTAGGATGGTGGAGGTGGTTGATGCTGTGGTTCCTATGGGGCTGAGCCTCTCTCCCTGTGCCCCAGACAGGGCTGTACCGGGTGCCGGGTGCGGAGCAGCTGGTGCGGGAGTGGAAGAGGAGGCTGCTGCGGGCTGGGGGTGCGCTGCCCACCCTCAGCAGCGTGACTGACATCCACGTGGTGTGTGGTGTGCTCAAGGACTTTCTGCGGGGCCTCAAGGAACCACTGGTTACCTTCAGCCTCCACCCTGCCTTCCTGAGTGCTGCTGGTGAGCAGGGGTCTCAAGGTGGGACATGAGAGAAGAAGAGGCTGCTTCTAACAGTGATCCCTGGTGCCACCACAGACATCCTCGATGATGCTGCCTGTGACACAGCCCTGCGGCACGTGGTGAGCAAGCTGCCCCCAGCCAACAGGGACACCCTGGCCTTTCTCATGCTGCACCTGCTCAAGTGAGTGGATCATCCTGGTGTGGGTTCTGGCTCTCTGCCCCTCACCCAAGCTTTGTGCCCTAGAGCAGGGAAGCTGCGGATGGGGGGCCCCTTGGCTGGGCAGCATGCTCACACCCTCTGTCCCCACTTGCAGGGTATCACGCAGCCCCGACTGCAAGATGGACGTGCTCAACCTGTCCCGTGTGTTTGGCCCTACACTGGTAGGACACAGCTCAGCCAACCCCACACCACTCGCCATCATGGAGGACACACCGCGGCAGTGCAAGGTGAGGGGGTCCTTGAGGTGTGGGGTGTACCCTGGGCACTGCCAGCATCCCTGTCCTACATCCCTCTCTGCCCAGGTGGTGGCTCGTCTCCTCTCGCTGCCACCTGACTTCTGGAGAGGCTTTGTGGGGACAGAGCAGGAGAACCTTGTGCCGATGCCAGCCCCAGGGGGTGAACGTGGTGAGGCACAGGAGCCCCAGCCCCTCCTGCCCTGGCCTTGTGGCTTCTTTGAAGGGTCCTGGTTGTCCATGGCTGGGGTTTGATAGCTGTCCCCACTCTATCCTGCAGAGCTGTTCTTCCACCCCATTGTCTCTCCGGAACCCAAGCCAGGCCAGCTGAGCCCAGCTGGTACCTGCTGCCTCCCCAGCACCTTGCGGAGCTGCGTGGGCACGGCCACCCGGCCCCCGTGAGTGCTGCCGGGGGTGGGTGGGAGCCCAGGGGAGCTCACTTTGCACCCCTGACTCATCTCTCCCCACGCAGGCAGGGGCCGGCCCCGAGGAAGGTAGGCCGGTTCTTCCCTTCTCCGGTGTAGCCTGCACCAGTGGCTCCCTGGGGACATGGAGCTGGCACTGGAGGAGGAGCAAAGCCTGCAGCAGCAGGCTGCCTGTGGGGTGGCAGTGCTGAGCTCGAAGCTCTGCTCTGCTTCCCTGGGGTGCTTCCCTCGGGGCTGGGGAGCAGAGCTGGCTCTGCCCAGCCATGGTGGCAGGGATGTTACCCCAGTGCTGTACTTTGTCAGGTTTCTATTAAATGTTTGCAGCAAAACACACCTGGCTGTGGCTGCTGTCTGTCCCTCCCTGCTGCTGCCAGGTGCCAGGGGTTAGGGAGCACGGGCATGATGGAGCCTGGCTGGGCAGTCGACAAGAGCTGTACAGTCAGCACAGGTGTAAGCAATGCCTATTTTGGGAGGGCAGACAAGGCCTCCTTCCACCTCAGCTGAATCCCTCCTCTCCTGCCCTGGAGCCCAGGATGTGGGAGGCCCCTCTTTGAGCTCAGATGTTGGCCTCAAGTAATTGGAGCTGTCCTGCTCCGGGCAGAACAACCTTAAAGTGTTTCCAGACTTCCTAGCGCCTCAGTGGAGGCCCCTTTAACCCCTTCCTCTCCTCCAGCCCTGGCGCTAGAACTGCAAAGCCCAAGCAGCACTGGAATGTACAGCTCTTTCCCTCCAAGACAGGAAAGCAGAATGATGCTGTAATGGAGCAAGATTCTAGGAAGGGCTCATCTCCCAGACAGCTCTGTGCAAGGGGGAACTTAGAGATAAGGGTCATTACACAACAGGGCTGAGAACTGCCCCATGGTCACATCCAGCAGCTGATAAACCTTTGTCCCTACTAAAAGCCGGACCAGATGTGGCACATGGGAGAAAATTCAAGTACAATCCTGAAAGCAAGAACTTTGGCTCAGTTTTCCCCAGCGCTGGAGTGTACACCAGAGGGCAAGAAAATTAACACATCCAAGGCAGAGGCAAAACTGAAGGAGTTTAATGTGCTTAAAGCCAGGGAACAGCTAATCCCCGCCCAGGACCACAGGAGAACTGGCACAGGAAGGCACAGGGCTGGGAGCAAGGATTTACTGCAAATCCATTGAGCTGGGGTGGTACTGGATGAATGGAGAATATCTAATGTGCCGTCTCACTGAAGGTGAGAGGCATGATGGGGCCCTCGGTGGAGTGCAGGGCTTTAGCACAGAGCTCAAAAATGGGGGTAAATGGATAAAAGGCAGTGTTAGTTACAATAGAGAGCCTGTGCTTCAATAAAATCAGGTTTTTGAGACAAAGTGAGGTGCTACATCTCTGGCACCTGCGCACATGTAAGTTGATTGCTCTGGTGCCCTGTGAATGTGGCTAGGGCAAGAGGGAGACATGCAGTGAGCCCCCCAACCTACAGCCATGCTGGTGTGAAGGAGGCTCTTGGCCCACCAGGGTGGCAGAGGCTTGCTGCCATCACTCTGAGCCCTGCCTAGGCAGCAGGCACAGGTCTCAGCCTGACAGAAGCAGGCCTGGCAAGGCTGGCAGCTCTTCTGGCTTGCACTGAGCCCATGGCGGAAGAGGCTGTGCTAGGGGAAGGGGTGCTCTTGCAGTTCCCTCCAGGGCCAGCAGCCTACCAGTCTAACCCAGCCCTTGTGTGCCAGTACCCTTAGGACAGCTTGGCACTGTTTTCCCAGTAGTAGGCAGAAGCCCAGCTCAGGCAGTTGCAATCACACTGATGAAATCAGGAGGCTCCCAACTGGCTCCTGTGGGGTGAGCTGCCTACACAGGACAGGCCCATTCAAAGCTCCTTGGTCTCTAAGATGGGCCAAGACCTTCCAGGGAGATGCAGACAGCAAATGATGCAGGGAGAGCCTGGTGAGGAGTGGCAATGTGGTGCTGTTAGTGCCCTTTGGTGGAGAAACACCCAAAATTGGATCCACAACACTGCAGGCAGCAAGTGCTCCCTACACAGGTAGGCAGGCTGGTGCCAGGGTCACATGCTGTCCCTGAAGCCTTCACCCTGGCCCAGGGCTGGTCCCTGGGCTGCAAGAGAAGCAGCACGCAAGGCTGATGCTCACCAGCTTTAATGTCTGTCTGGAGCAGTAGTCAGGCACTTGCAGGGCTCCTGGCCTGTACCTACTCCTTTGGGGGTAGTGGGAACCTCCCAAGAGGGCACAGGCTCTTGTGGGGCACAGCAGGGAGTGAGTGGCTGGTGCTGGCCCCTGACTCACAGGATAATCTGATTTTTGTAGCTGCGGCTCAGCTCCTTGTGAGGAAGGACAATGGAGTTGAGAATAACGACCTCAGCAGGGATGGTGACACTGCAGCCTGCAGGGAGAATGCAAGGGCGTTAGCAGGCAGGGAGAGACTGCCTCGCTGAGCAGGGCCATTTGGTGCAGCAGGGACGTACCCAGGATCGTGATGGATGGTGTGAGGCGTCCATCCCGGAAAAGGGTCTCGCTGTCAATCTTGGCATAGGGATCATTGGGGTTGGGGTCACTGGGCGTTCCTTCAACCCGGGCCCAGCGCCCAATGGTGCTGTCCCAGCCCACAATGGTATTGAGGACACAGGTGTGGTCCTGGGGTGAAGGAAAGGGGAATGCAGGGTGCTGCTGCCTCCCTGCAAGGAGTGGGGGTTGATACCCACTCCCTCAGGCAAATCCTACTTACGTGGAGTGAGGCGCCGTGCAGTACAATGGACTCTCGCACACGCACACCAGCTCCCACTGTCACCCCCTCCCCAATGGAGACATTGGGGCCCAACTGTGAGGACAGAGGGAGGTGATGAGGGAAAGGAGGACAATAATGCCCTTGGCACCCCTGAGTGTCTCCCTGCTCCAGGGCTCCCCCAGCCTGCACTCACCACTGCAGTGTTGTCAATGGAAGCTGTCGGGTGGATGTACACGTTCCCTGCAACACAAGGCAGTGGTGTCAGCGAAGGCAGCTCACAGGAGCACCTGTCTCTTGGATCAAGGGAGATCCTGCTCATGGGTCCCACTGCCTTCCAAGGCAGCCCCAAAGGCATTAGCAAGTCAGAAAGGTACCTCGGATGACAGGGCCTCCAGGTTTGTTCTGGGCTAGTCTCTCTGGGTGGCTTTTGCTGTACTGGTTCAGGTAAAGGCGGCTGGCATAGATAGCAGAGCTGGAGAAGGAAAAGCAAAATATTGTTATTGTCTTTCTGGCACTACCAGGGCAGAGGAGGAAGATCCAAAATCAGCACCGCCCACCTACGCTCAGGGTCCTGCCTGAGCACCCTCCTCTCCCATCCCTCATATGGATCACTTGATGCTCCTGCTGCACCAGCTCTGCCTTCAGCCCTTACCCAGCTGATTTGATCTGGCTCCAGAAGCCATCAGTTTTGTAGACATAGAGTTTGCCACTCCCAGCCAGTGCTGTAAAAACGTCCTGCTCTAGCCGGATCACTTCTGCACGCTGCCAGCCATTGGAGCTTTCCTCTCTGCAAGAAAGAGTCCTGTTAGACACTCCATTCCTCGGCCAAGGACCCTGGCAGAGCTACCCTCCCCAAATTCAGGGGCTCTGATAAACCCAGATTCCTACCTAGCCATGCACTTCTCCCCAAAGCTGGGGACAGCACCAGCCATGGGGCTAGGCCAGGACAGTTCCACTGAGCACCAGAGCAGCAGAGGGATGGGGCTCTGCCAGCCAAAATAAGCTCTGAGCCAGAAGCTGATGGTGCAAGAGCCCCACCCAGTCCATGTGGGTGAATGATCCTGCCCCAAATCCAGAGCTTGGCACAGCTGGAGTTTAGCTTTGGTGGTGGCAAAGATGATAGGTGACAGGCTGGCTGGCGCAAAAAGCTGGAGAGGGGAGCAGAGCATTCCCAGGTGAAAGACTTGCTCAGTCCCTCATCCAGAGCTGAATGAAAATGGGGTGGGAGAAGAGGAAGGGAGAGGGGGAGTCAAGCTGGCCAGGAGGGGAGCAGAGGAAAGAGCAGGCTGGAGGAAGGAGGGAAGCATGCATTATCACCAGGAATGATCCAGCCTAGAGAGCAGCCGTGCAGACACAGAGGGAGACTTACCCAAGGTAAGGACAGCTGGTGCAGGACCAGGAAACAAGTGAGTGATGGCAGAGGAGGAGAAAAGATAGAGAAAGAATGGAGGATGAGTGTGCCGCTGCAGCCCTGGGAAGCAGTGGGGTGGGAGGGACAGAGAGCAGAGTGAGGCACTCACAGTGCTAGCTCCTGCTGGTTCCTCTGGAAGACCTCGCCAATATGCTGGAAGATGGCAGGTGTGAAGAGGTAGATGCCGCAGTTGATGATCTCACTGACAAACGTGCTGGGCTTCTCCACATAGTGTTGGACCTGGAGGCGAGAGAAGAGATGTGAATCCTGGGGCGCAGCCCCCACGCCCAGCGTCACACCCTCTATGTCGCACTGGGAACGCGCGCCCACACAGGCAGCGCAGCACCCGCTGCCCACGCTGTGCTCAGCTCCCTAAGGCCCTCCAGTACCTCCTGCGTGTCCGCATTCGCCACGATACAGCCGTAATTCAGTGCCTGTGTCCTGTTGGCCTATGGAGCAAGGACATGTAAGGAATGGTGGAGCACTGGGCAAGCCGATGCAGAGTAGACGAAACCCAGAGCTCACAGCCCAGGACCCACCCACCACCAGAGCCACTGGCTTCTAAGCCCATGGCAGAGCACTGCAGCTCTTCTGCTCCCCAACACTGCCACTCACTGTGGTACCCAGAATGACAAAGCTGTGCATGTCCCCGTGCTGCTGCCAGAACTCCAGCATCTCCTGTAAGGGGAACTCTGAGCACACGTCTGCATTGAGGACAAAGAAGGCCTCAGCACCACCTGACAGGATCTGGTCTCGGAAGTGATAGATGCCACCACCCGTGCCCAGTGCTGCATACTCCTGAAGATACCTGTGAGCAGAGTAGGGAAAAGCAAGGGCTTAGGAAAACAGATGCTTGGTGGCACCAACTGGCACCAAGGCTGGGAAGGGTTGGGAGGATCTGGAGAGACATAATCCTGCAATGGGGCTCACATGGACACTGCACAGAAGGAGGCTGTGGAAGCTTAGAGCTGGGCTAGAGAGGCAT